CCCCCCTCATTTTCCCCATCTCTAGAATCTGCCCCCGATCTGCCCGCCGTCGCGTCGTCGTGCCGTCCGCAATCTCCTCTCAAATAAATCAAACTTTTGAATCGCGCTCGTCCCTTCACCGCGTCCTCCCACGCGCCGCCGCCCTCTCTATACCATGGCACCGGCACAAAACTTTGTAACCTGCCGCCATTGTCAAGAGTTTAAAAGCTGAATGGGTTTTTAGATTGTACGCCGGGGCGCTTTCGGTTTCCCGTAGCCCCGTCGCCATCGGACCCTCTCTTCCTCACCCCGACGTCGAGAGAGTTTCAAATTCTTCGCGTACCGCCCGCTTACGATCCCATCCCCTACGCTCCACTTCTTCCTCTTTCTTCTTCTTCTTCCTTCTTGTTCTGGTCGTCTTTTATCTCCTATCTCTGCTTTCGTGGCCGCCGTTAATCCAAAAGTACGTACCATATGACATTTACGCGAGCTTTCGTGCGAACGCGATATACGGGATCGTTCAAGTCAGATGCATTAATCTCCGCCGCTTCTTATTGGCTATCTGTCAGAGTTTTTACGAGTGCTAAAGTTCCGGAATGCGAACGACGCGCAGAGATACTGTCCCGCGTGCGATACAGCTTTGAGCGTAATACAAAATAGTTTTACTATGAGAGAGAGAGAGATTTTGCTCCCTGTTACTTTTATTTGGAAATGTACGGAACAGGACAGTTGCATTGGCAGGATTTAGAAAGAGATGTTTGAGAATAATTTTTTTTTATAAACAGCAATTGCATTAGTATTTAATCCATATTATTGTGTGTATATTAAATATCACATGTTGGCAGTAGTGTCGCGGTAAATATTTGTAAGGCTAACACATACATTTTCTTTAACATTGTTTGCGGAAAGCAGCGTAACATGTAATTGTTTGCCACAACGCGAAAGAAAAGCATGATAAAAGATTCAAAGTATCAAAATATTTAGATTTGTTAGAACGCATTATTCGATGTTTATTTATTTGAAAACAAAAAAAGTCTGGATTTTGAGTTTAAAATTATTTTTAGCAATTATTGTTCTTCTTTTAATAATTGAATTTGATGCAAGAGAAAAGATAAGATTATCTTACAAAATCCTTCACGACAGATGGAAAACCGATTATCAAATTTCTTGTTTGCATTGTAATCAGCATAAAGAGTAAAATAATTTATTAATTAAATTTATAACCTTAGTTTTCTCGGTAAATTTATTCAGTGTCAATATCAAAAGAGAGATAGACAGAGAGAGAGAGAAAAAAACAATGTTCTTTCTGGAAATATTGGCACAAACTCTTGAATTTATTATATTATATATATTGATTATTTTATTATACGTTTTAACTCTTGATTTTATCATATATCTTATATATGACTTATTTTCTATTGCATCAAATTTCGCGATTGACCGCATCACCATATTTTCCCTTGCTTATATATTCTCACGCGGGATCTTATACTTCGAGAGCTGTGAATGCGAAATTGGGTAAGTTTAGTTTTTGTCGCTTGGCTTTCTCGATCGAATCAATCTTGTCAATCTTTATTCCGCTTTAACTTCTTAACAGCACGAAGGAAAATTAGCGAATCTCGTAAGATCCACGTATGGATTAAATGCTAGAGCGGTAATGGTAGTCGAAAGTCTGTTGTATCTCGTAAACTTCTCAAATCGATCGCCATCACTGCCTCGTGCGATTGCGTTGCTTGTCCCAGTGACGTGTTATATAATGTCATACATACACACATATACATATAAATATATACATATATGTGCAAGGTGCTTTTTTTATTATCTCTATGGTCGTATGTAAAGGCTGCCTTGCAATGCGCTTCATGTGAGTGTCTTCTTTTATTCCTTCCTTTTTTTTTATTTCAATGAAATGCATTGCGAGAAAATTCGTTAAATGGACTCTATCCTTTTCCTTGTATTCAATGTGTATGTATCGTGATGTAATCACAATTACGATCTTTAAACACGTGAAACATATACACAGTTCTCGAAGTAAAGTGTAGACCAGAGATATTCGTCGTTCATTTATGCACGAATGTGCGTGAGCTCGTTACAACAGTCACACTACATATAGTATATGAGTTAAAGAATCTTATCTCTAATGAGATTTAGCTAAAGCATACCGTTATACAACTGCAATGAGTTTGATATGAGTAAGCGGAAAGAGGCGAAAAAGCTAAAAACTCGGGGAACGCCAACGGAACAACGTGCCTCAAGGTACTTGCATGGGAGATTCCTAAAAGGGATAAGGCATGCAAAACGCTCATATCGCTATCACGGGTAGAATGAATTAATCAGAATATTCACCTCCAATAGTTGTCACTCAGATTTAATAATTGTCGTGAAATATCATACGCTACAAAAAATTACAAAAGTTAAACGCGATTTAATATCATTGATAATGCTTATATAAAAAAAGTCTCTTAAATCTTTCACTTAATATCATTTATATAACGCTTATATAAAAAAGTCTCTTAAATCTTTTTAAATCCTCAACTATATATTATGATGTAATCGAAGCTCCGACGCGCATTCGCTTTGTGATAAGAATTGTAGCGAAAAAATATATGCAAATCCTAGTGATCAGCTTTTTCATTTATCATCAGACATTTAGTATAATATTGATCGTGATATAAAATGACGTCATTATCATTAGTTGAATCAATTATAGTAGTTATATTATCAAAATTTTGCCACAGTAATTGAGAATTTCATCACAAATTGTTTCTTGGTACTTCTTAATGAAACTTCATTCGAAAGCAAATCTACGAGTACTACCTGCATACTCCGCGAAAGACAAGGTCGAGCCTCGCCGAGGCTCGTCCTCGTCATGACGACGGCCTCTCCATTCCGATCGGGTTAAGAGGGTGAACATTGACGCGGGTTCATTGCAGTGATGAACAACTACCAGGCGGCCGCAGCGCAGGCCGGATTCCCGCCGGCGTCGCCGCACGCGGCCGGCGGACACGGTGGGCCGCAGGGGCGGTCTTTCCCGGCGGCCAATTCGCCGGGCCCGATTGACATGTACAGCTCGAGCGCCGCCGCCGCAGCAGCAGCCGCAGCCGCGGATTCCGCAGTCGCAAGCTACGTCCAGGCCGCAGCTAGCCCGCAGCCCCCCACGACCGCGTTCCCCGCGATCGCCGTATCCCGTGCCCCGCTCAACTACAGTCCCGTAAGTCCACTTAATGCTCCCCCTTTGTTCACCGAATCGAGCCCTTTCCGAGAAAAATGGAACGAAAGGATGAAGAACGCGGTCGTCAATATATTTGACGCTTCGTATCTTGTATGACCAGCATCGTACGAGATTTACCTATCAGTTTACATCTAGCCCATTGTTAACGTCGTAAGCTGCAAATTCTTTTATATTCTGTAAAAAACAAGCTGATTGCCTTTCGTTTCGTGAATGTAATTTTGTGCTATTAAATAGAATTTCATAGCTGAGACAGAGAGGAAGATAAATTGGAAGGGATCAGAGAAAGTAGCGGTCAATTTAGACTAAGGAAAGAATTATGAAAAGATAACTAATCGGAGAAAGCTTTTGCATAGTGTTTTATGATGAATAAATTTTTTTATGATTGATAAAACAAATTATCCAAGTAAAATCGATGATATTTAAAAATAATCGCATTTTTATATTAAAGATTCGCATGCAAGAATTTGAGTAGTGTATTTTACGCTGACAAAGTATTGCGAAATGAAAGAATTGTTTGGCTATCGACTAAGCTCTTTATCGTTTCGTTCCATATTGCAATCTCACCAGTTTTATGCATCTCATGGATCTGATAAGCAAATATGAATATATAATACCCTCTTGCAAAAAGTAAATTATGTTTAATGCGATCGGTTTATCTCTCTCAATTTTATAACAAAATTGCTTCCATGTACATATATTATTACGCTTTATACATCCTATATATTTTGATTCTACATTTTATAAATATGTCTCTGGTCTGTATAGGTCTCTAATCAGGTATAGTATGATTTAATATAATTATTATTCTGACTTGTATCAAAAATATACCTAATATCTCTTTTTAAATTTATAAATTTCTCTAATCTATTATTCTCTTTGCAATTTTAATATGTTTAACTTAAATATTACCCAAAACTTTCCGTATAACATCATATCCTTCGCGCATATATTTCGTCATTTATTATTATCTTTATATTATGTGCAATATTTTCGAGCAAAAAAGAATGTAGCACAAAAAAGAGACTACAACCTTAAAGGCCAAGTACCGCAATTGCACGCTGCAATTTTGGATATGCAGGCAAATATAAGGGTTTATCTTTACGCTCGCCCTTGTATAATAATCATTATTTTTATGGAAAGGTTGATGAGACCGATATCTTGTACTGTTTCAGGGCCCTTTAATACCAGCGGCGTTCACTAATGGCTACCATTGAGCCTTGTTAAGACCTAATAACAGGTATGCGTGCCATCAACAATATTTTGTCGAGTAGAATATAGATTTTACTTGGAAGTAAAATTATTAGATATTCGCCAAATCCAATATATGAAATAGTTAAGTTTCTTTGTTCAATTTCATAGTTTTTGATATAACATTATCTACGAAGATTTATGAGAAACGACTTTTTCCACGTGATGATAATAGAATATTAACAACAGCAATAAAATAAAACAAATGTTATTTTTCTCTATTTAAGAAAAGGAACGAATAATCTCACTTTTACGTATTCAAAATATAATTACCTAATCTAAACCGAATATGTTTTGAAAAGAAGATTTTGCGTTCACATACACACATTTTTATTTTTATTTTAGCTATGTAAATGAATTCTGAATCAATTAAAATGACCGTGTTTGCAAGATAAACATCTAATTTGTTGAATTCTTAATATCTTTTCCACCAGAATGGACGAGACGGCAGAACGCAGCACGGTCGCCTGATATAATAAGCAACATGGACGACTTGAGGCAGCTAAACATAATAAATGATCTCTGGACGAAAAAGAAAACATATACACACGTCTACTGCAAATGATGATCGATGGTTGCAATACATTCAAATATGCATAATGTTGAACAGAAGGGAACGTTCAAGTAGGATTTAATCGATGCAACTTCAAAGTCCAGATTGTGTATAAACAACCGGACAAAATATTACGCGAATATATATAACAACGCATTAAAAAAGAATTTAGAGCATTAGTTCAGTTATATAATTTAGTTCAGTTGGATGCAACTGTAGATAGAAGGGAGAAAATTACTGAAGTACTGCTAAAGCAAGAGAAGAAAGCTGAAGCAATGGGGAAAACGTCCAGAGAAGATCATAGAAAAAAAAAGATGAGAAAAGCGACAGGAAGATCGACCGTCAGACGGAAACAGGAAGAAGAAACAACGCGCGCTGCAATATAAGGTAACTATGGCCGAAACTGCGTATTGACGCCAGCCCGTTCTCCGACACATTAATAAAAGAAATAATAATATAATATTATATATATATATATGTATATATATTTATATATACACATAATTTATTGTAAGGTCTATTATA